CCTTTCGGGTATCCGAGAGATCTTGCTCGAGGGCTTCGACTCGGTTCAAGGTATTAGTGAGGAGCTCGTCCTTGTCGAGCGGCATGGACGAGGGCTTGGTGCTGAGGTGGCTCACCTTCTCCTCAAGCTCGTTCATTCGCTTCATCATGATCAAGTAATCGGCCCTCGAGATCGCGATATCTGGCGACTCGAACCTGTGGGCCCGGTTCTTGACCGCCTCGTCACCACTGCATATCGAGCTCGAGTAGAGTGTGGCATCCGTTAGCTTCTTGGGCATGTTGCGAGTCATCCGAACCATCGTCATCACCCCCATAACGAATGTCAGCACCCCCGTGAAAAGGTGGTTGCTGTTTTTCTCCGAGGCTTTGTACACCGAATAAATATCCGAGGCTGTAAGTATCAAGACAATACGTGAAAATTGGGATAAGAGGTCGGGTCAAAACTTTTCATGTTTTTATGTGGAAGCATTGGCATAATTTATGTGTTCATATGTGAACTTAAAGACTAGTCCTGCTGATTCCCCATAGTAATTTTCGTCCAAGGTTTCAACATTTCGCTTTTTGGTCTCGTGATTCAATATTTCAGTCCTTGAGGACTAAAATTGCAACAAACTCCCAAATTCCCATATTTTTTTTATTAGCAATTTAAGTCCTGTAATTTAAAATTTTGTTGCAATTTCCTGAGGACTGAAATTGCAGCAAAATATTAAATCAGATGACCAAAAGGCGAAAATTGGAATCTTGAGACTAAAATTGCTATGACGTTAAACTAACAGACTAAAAATGTATATTTTTTTTGCCTATGTGAACTTAAAAACTAGTCATGATTATGTACCTTTAGTGAGTGCTAAATTCTTATTTGCCGCCTTTTGCCAATTTGCAGCTACGGACTTGTCCAACGTTTGGACGTATTCATTCGGTTCAAATGCCTTAGGAGAGCTTTTGATCACCTGAAAAGATTGCAAAAAATATTGTAGAGCACAAGTTAGTTACTTCAAGAAATAATGTTTTAGATTAGACATTTAAAATCGTTTGAACTTTACTTCTTCAGGAACTGGAGAAAGGTGTGTCTGTGTTGTAAAGTCCCGGCTGAAAGCTCTCTTGGAATTGCTTTTCAAGTCGAAAGAGTTGTTTCTCTTCAAATTTCCACATTTGCACAAGTCAGTCATCAGTTGATAACATGAGTTGAAAAAAAAAAATAATAAATAAAAAAAATTTGATCTTCAGTACCTTGGAAGCAGAAAGAGGAACAACAATCTCATCTTCAGTAATCATCTTCTCGTCCACAGATGAAATGACCATTTTGTTGGAGCATTTATGTTCTCCATTTCGGACCATCTAACGAAATTCAAATCGCAAATTTTCAGAAAGTCACCTAACTAAGGCTAATTTGCATTTTTAGTCCTACAGGTTTAACGCTATAGCATTTTTAGTTCCAAAATTCTAACATTTCACCTTTGTGATTTAATATTTTGCTGCAATTTCAGTCAAAGATTGAGGACAAAAAATTGCAAGAATTTCCCAAGTTTATAGATTTTTGATTTGCAATTTAACTCCCATAATTTAAAATTTTGTTGCAATTTCAGTCCTACAATTTAATATTTTGATGCAATTTCAATGTTGGAACCTTGGGACTAAAATTATTATGGCGTTAGACCAACATGACTAAATATACATCTTAACCCCTAACTAATGAGTTGTGAAAACAATTAAATTATTAGAGAAAATATATTAACATAAAAGCGTGTGGAAGTTGGATATTTCGGTATTTTGACCTTCATAATATCAGTGTCATTCCACGGGCCCTTGTCCGAGACCAAACAACCACCTTTATCCTCACAAGTGCACGTGCCTCCCAAAAACTCCGGTAACTCACTGGTATTATAATGATTAAATTATTTAAACAATAAAATTAAATTGTCTAAACTTTTATAGTATTCAAACCATAAGATCAACATAATGTGCAGACTTATCGTTGTTATTTACGAAAATATGAATTCTAAATATTTGAGAAGCTAAAGTATACCTTGCATCGATGATCTCAAGCAGCTTGCTTTGGTATTTATTACCCAAAACCTGGTAAAAAAGAAGCATATCGACTGAATTCTTATCACAATTTAAGAAATAATTAATTTTTTAAAAGTAGAGTTGAATATAGCTGATTAATTACATGGATTTTGGCAGTTGTCTTTGGATCAAGGAATGATTTTACGGTGTTCCACAAGAGCCTAAACCCTGATCCAGCATTGATTATATACATTTGGCATAGGGTCTGAAAAATAAAAAATAAAAACATAGGATCGTATTAATTCAAACTACCAAGAAGCTGAAAACCAAAAGAACCGAAATTTAAAGTGAACTATAAAGGAAAAGAGAGAGTAGGTACCTCAGGATAGTTGTCACCGTCAATCTTCTGAAGGCGCTGAATTAGTTCTCTAGCGGCTTTATTGAAATTTTTCAAACCCTGTAAATGATAAAGAAAATTTTAACATTCATTGCCATAATTCATCCGTAAAAAGCAACATTACAATGCAATTGACTTAATGTAGTGATGGAATTTTACATGGTCAGTTGTATAACATTCTATCGAAATATTTCGTCTATCCAAATGTACAAACATAAGAAGAATGAGGAGT